TGTGTGTGTGTGTGTGTGTGTGTGTGTGTGTGTGTGTGTGTCCTGAAACTATTTTTATCACTCATGCATAATTAAGACAGTGGTGTGGGGAAGACACTATCATTTCCACTAATGTAATATGGTTAGAGAGGTTTTACATCTCCCTATCTATCCAGTTTTTGATCTGTCAACCCCCCTATGGAACAGGAAACAAACATGGACAAAAATCACTTACTATTGTATTTCAACAGCATGTGTTCAATACACAGGGACTGAAATAGAATAGAAAACCAAATTTGTTTTACCTGTGACTGAGTGGGGGAAGAAGCTAAGAAACAAGGGAGGGCGTAAGAAAATAAAGCAATATTGTAAAGGAAGACTGTGTTTTAGTTGCTCTAAATTATTCCAGTCACTGCCGGTGTTTGTGAGAGTCCCTTGACACCTGACCCTGTTTTGTGACAGAGCAGAACAGTAACCAGAGAGCAGCTGAACAGGATTCTCTCCTTTGCCCTCTTAGACTCCATGGCCTTAAGCAAGTGCCTTAACCTAGTGCACTTCCTCTCCCAACTTAAAAAATCTTAATCTAGGGGAAAGCATGCTGGCATCCCTAAACATGGCAGAATGTGGACATCTGAGAAACACCCAAAACAGTTAAAGGCCTGGACAGGCTGGGGGAAACCTTACAAGAGGCCACATGTTTTCTCAGTCTCTGACCTGCAGGCACACACCTGGACTCGGTCAGGTTACACTCGGCTCCTTCCCGCCTTCAGGTCAAGCCCTGGTGGATGGATGATAGACCCAGGACCCTCCTTAATTAAGCATACCAATCACCTAAAGCAACAAGAGGGTATTAGGGAATATTGAATGTCATTCAGTTTCTCCTTAGACTTCCTTCCCCTTTAATTATTTCAAAAGAGAAATGCTGTTATTTTTTTTTAAGGAAAAAAAAAACAAGAAAAAAAAGCAAAGCCTCTTAAAGGAGATGTCTGTGAAGATAAAGCAACACTCCCTGGATTGTGGACTGCCCTGTATTTGCTACTAAGTACGACTGGATGCAAGTACTGGGTTATCTGTTCCCACTCACCAGTTCCTACTGTTTTCTCCTTTGGAGGACCACAATGATCAGTCACCATTGGTTTTTTGAATGCTGTTTTGGCAAATGATTGACACTTTCTTGCTGAGAATTGTCTTGTTTTTATTACTGTTGCTTCCATTTCATGAGCAATGCTTTCTAAATTCAGGGAGGGAATACTTCAGAAATGTCCTCGAATCACAAAAACAAAGGGGAAGGGGAGATGCAGTAAAGGGATCCCAGGTATGTGGCATGGGCTTCCTCCAGCTACAAATGAGACAAATCATTCACAAAGTTAGGATCTTCATCATGTAAAAATGGGTCCAGAAGACTGAAACATACCTGATATTTTCCACCTGCACTCAAATGATAAACTTGTGCAACTTTATTTCTTTCTCTATGTGTGTATTGTACGTGTGTGTGCATGTGTGTTTAGGTATGCGCACACACATCTTGAACATGTGACCCATAGGTCAATGTATGAAGTCTTCCTCTATTTTTCTCTACCTTATTGTTCACAGATAGGGTCTCATACTAAATCAGTGTAGGCTGTCTCACTAGCAAGTCATAGTGGTCCTCTTGACTATTTCCCCAATGGAGTTACACATGTGCCATCATGCCTAGCTTTTTATGTTGATGGGGAAAGATCCAAACTCAAATTCTTATGCTTTCAAGATAAGCCCCTGATCAATGAGCTGTCTCCACCAAAAATAGGATCTCTTTTAAAGGGCATAATTATTCAGTATTTTCTCTACCTCACCAGCTGAAGCACTTGGGAAAATGGGCCCTGCACCTTGCCTGGGCAGCACAGTAGAGCTGGAACTAATGATGTAGGTGTGGGAAAGCCAACCTTCAGGGCATGAAAGTAGAGAAATTGGACCTACCCCTTGCTTATTGATCATAGGATGAACCAGCCAATCCCAAAGAGCTCACCCTGGTCATGAGGATGGGAGAGAGCTGGTGGGCTGACCAATCCTGCAACTACCCAGGCCCAGAACCAGGTTATGAGTTGGTCCATCTCAACATCTACCCCATCTATGATCTGCTACAACATGTGAAGGGGCACATCCTACAGATCCAAAGCTGCAGGAACTCCATGACACAGAGCATCAACAGGATACCCAAGAGGAGTCCCAGTGAGGGTCCAGTATATATGGTATAGCAGAAACCAGAGGCCTCTAACCCAACCAATGACTCTTGCAAGTGAAGATATATGGACAAACAGATATACTGTGTCACACCACAGTTTCTATGCCAAGACTTTTCTTTTTTCAATTTTTCTTGTCTTAAATTTTATTTCATTTTATTTTGGTAGGGAGGCTGCAAGGGCAGAGGGAGGATACAAAGGAACAGAGAGATGTATGGGATAAATAAAAATAAAGGTAAAACAACAACACAGAGTTCAGTGCTTGGTACATAGTGTGCTTTCAAAAGTGATGGCTTTAGTTGGGCATGGGACATACACCTACAATCAAGTGTGAGGCTAGTTCAAGGAGGATAGAACCAAATGTTAGATGGCAGCTTAGGGTACACAGTGAGATGAAGAAGAAGAACAGGAGAAGAGGATGAGGGGAGGAGGGGAAGATGGGAGGAAGTAAGGAGAAACAGCTTATAATCTTGAAAATGTTGATTTCAAGTTTGCCATGTTCTGTGTCCTCTGTGTAGACAATTAGTTTGAATTAAATATTGAGCATAAGGAAACATTAAGTTTGGCAAGGCAGAGGCCACATGTGTTTTCTAGAAGACAGAGTTTTTCTTTAGGGCAAATCATTTCGTAGGCTGGCAGTGGCAATGAGCTAACCCATCTTCAGAAGAGATACAGGGCTTTTTGTCTCAAAAGTGAACACTGCAAATTCAAATTGAGCTCGCAACACATCAAGCAAACTTGACTTTAAACCTTTTGTAACCCGTGTAATAAAAGTTTCAGATTCAGCGAATGGGTTGTGTCTATTAAACACTAAACTTCATTGGCATAATTGAGACTCATTTAGAGCAGAATTACTCTGACATTCAGCAGGGGAAGCAGAAGCTAATTCCTGTTCTTTATTAACTCATCACCTTGTCTGCACTGGGATCTTGAGGCTGATGAAGGAAGCCCCGTGTTCCCTACCTACTGCCTTACAGCACTTTGTGCCACTGTCACAGACTAACTGAGGCTGGCTAAGTTAATTAACACTAGCTTATTTGGTTCATGGTTCTGAAGGCTAGGATAGTATTATTTATTTTATTTGATTACTTCTTATTACTATAATAGGTCAAATGAGCAAGCTAACTTATGAAGCAAATGGGTTTGTTTTGTCTCATCATTCTGGAAGTAGCAGTAGCCTTCCTCTGGAAGAACTCAGGAAAGCACAAGACTTTACTGCAGGAGAAAAAGAGCAGAAGTGTGGGTCCACCTCTCCACTCTCTCTCTCCTTCTTTATGTAGGGCTACCAGGGTTCATGTATCAGGGCTTCACTCATGACCTCATTTGATCCTAATTGCCTCCCAAAGACCCCATGACTAAATACCATAATCTATAAGTTTCTATACTGCTCATATGTTGTAAAGGGGTTTAGATTTTAGTCAACTAAAATCCTATCAAACCCTAGCATAGACATTATCTGATTTTTTCATACTTAAGTCTCAATTTCATTTAATATTGTTAAGATGAGCTCTTACTGGCTGTATATTATCCAACAGCAGAGGAGTATATCACCTAATTAATTGTTACAATGCAATGGTAAGACTCCACAACAATTGAGAAGAGTTGCCTAACTAACAACAGACAATTGATACAGGTTTTAAGACAGGGGATAGAGTTAGGTCCCTTTCTCCTATGACACAATTAAAAATTATGAAAAATTATTCCCTGACGGTGGTGGCACATGACTTTAACCCAACATTCGGGAAGCAGAGGCAGGCAGATCTCTCTGAGTTCAAGACCATCTTGGTCTACAATAGCTAGTTCCATGACAGTCTCCAAAGCCACAGAGAAATCCTGTCTCAAAACAAAACAAACAAACAAAAAAAGGTTCAGTGTAAAGATTAAAATACAAAAGAATTCTAAAAATTTGTGAATCATTAAACAAAATTCAATTGGATTGTTTTCCCAATACCAATATTTAAAAAATAGTCAATATAAATTTGTGACTATGGTTTTCAATTGTTTATGATGTTTTTTTTTTTTTTTTTTTTTTTTTTTTTTTTTTTTTGAGACAGGATATTTGATCGTAGCACTGGCTGTCCCGGAACTCAGAATGTAGTCCAGGCTGGTCTTGAACTCACAGAGATCTGCCTGCCTCAGCATGCCAAGTGCTGGAGATAATGGCATGCTCCACCATCCCCAAAATGTTATATGTAAATATAAGTGACATAGAGAAACAATTACATACACACACACGGAGGATTATTGACCTCAATTCTTCATTCTATCAGAAATAATCAGCTTCAGAGGAAGTCAAAGAAATGTCTCTTATGCATGCCACTATGATTTGTTTTTCTTCATGTCTGATCACTACATAAGAATGCACATGTGTGAGTGTGTGCCTGTATTTGCATTTGTGTGTGTATGGGATTGTGGGTGTGTGTATGTGTGTATGTGATTTGTTACACTTGGTTTCAGTAATGCAGTTTGTTTTTATCCAATGCTGAATATTTTAGGCAAACTGGCCCAAGAGCCTTGAGGATTCTGCTGTCCTCAGCTACCGTCTTAACTTAGTAGCACTAGGATTATGGAAATGTCTGACTCTTACAGGGACTGGGGATTTGAACTTAGGTAGTCATGTGCAGCAATGCACAATGTCTCTTGTCCTGGGCTTAGTTATTGCCAAGAAATGGCCTTTCAAGCCTCAGAGATTTATTTCTATGTCTGCTTATTGAAGTATTGCCCATAATAGAGAGAGACTGAGAGTAATCCAGTCTTATTCTGAGATAGCCCTTTCCTTTCTTCCTTCATTTAATCTGAACCATGGTTATCAATGTTTATCATAGTCCGTGATTTCTTAGAACTTTGGACAAACATTTCTTTCTATGAACTCAAGTATGACAATTTAAGTTTGATAATTAAAATATCATTTGAGGTTTAAGAATAAAAAGTTAGACATTTTCTTTCTTATCTGCAATTGATCACCTGCAATTGGACACTTGGGAAGGGTGTGCTTATAAAAGTCACAGTAGATTGTTAGAAGTTCAGTTACAGGTAAACATGTGTTCTGTATAAGAAAGGATACAGACTGCAGGCAGATTTTATCTCTTTTTTATCTCCTCTGGGTTATCAGGGGAAAAACCCTGAAAAATGAAAATCTTGGCTTTTGGTTTACATGTGTACAGCAAACTTTACACTGGGGGTAATCAGGGTCTCAGAGATAGCTCAGGTGCTAAAGCATTTGTCATACAAGCATTAGGACCCAAATTCAGACTCTCTGCCTCCATGTAAGAAGAAAGTGTGGTGGTACTAAGTGTGCTGGTGCATGGCCTGGCACCGGACCCACTAGTTTTGCCAAACTGGACAGTTCCAGGTTCAGTGAGAGATGATGTCTCAAAATGCAGAGTGAAGAGCAATGGAGGAAAATGCCTGACATCAAACACTGGCTCCCACACACACACACAGAGAGAGAGAGAGAGAGAGAGAGAGAGAGAGAGAGAGAGAGAGAGAGAGAGAGAGAAGACATTTTGAAATGCTGACATAATAAGTTGTTTCCATTTCTGTTCTACTTCTGGGGAGGTGCATTTACTCTGTTCAGAACCCTGAGAAATGGGAAGTTACCTTTGTCAAGAGATCCTGAAAGGGTACAGGGACAGATCCCAACTATCTATCTGAAGAGCTATAGTGTTGCAAATTTTCTTCCTATTCTAGCTCTTAGTTCAACACTAAATTTAGCTTCTTGTTTAGAGTCCCAAATAAAGTTCTGTATAGAGGGCAATTTATTCACTTATCAAGAGGATATAGTAATCATAGTCTAATACTTTTCTCTAATTAATATCCAAACTGTGAAGTCATGGAACCCCTATTTTATGACAGGCCACTGTTGATAGCTGGGAGGCTATGCCCAAGGCACTGGGAAACTCACATGCTGTATGTTTTATTCTTTTTGTTGTTGATCCATTTATTAATTTGTTTAGCAAATGTTGCAAGAAATATTGGAAAGTGCAACTCTTTTGGTTGCTTGGCATGGCTTAATCATTGTCAGTATATTTCCTACAATCCAATAATATGGAGCAAATATGCAAAAGATTGTAAGCCATCTTAAAGCCAAGGTACATGAATGCTTATGTGTCAAGTTAGAAGTTTGACACTCAGGTAAAATGGGGTTGTCCTTCCAACTCTCACATGGGGGACTTTCGAGGCCCAATCAGAAATCATAAATATCTGGAATTTTCCTTCTGTCTTAAAATATAGCAACCTACCATTTACTCCCGGTAAAAACAAGCTTTGAACAGTGGTTTTGGGACCCTGATTTGAGCAGTATCAGCAAAAACAGTCTCTCTCCTTTATCTCAAATTAACTACAAATTCAATTAGAATAAAAATCTTCGCTCACCCTGCAGAAGAGATTTTACACAAAGCAAAGCAGATGTTCCCACAACATTGAGAGCACTTTGCCCAGCAGTCGATGGAATTTTCCATCTTGCAAGTCCAATCAGTGGTGAAAGATACACAGAGGCAGCCTCTCCAACTCTCAAAACAGCTTCCATTTCCTGTGTGCCTTTAATTAGATTGACTTCTTCAACCAAAATAATATGAGGCTCAAAGAATTAGGGGAGGGGGACTCTGCTTAATATTGGGTTTGCTCTGTAAAGTGCTTGTGGCAAAGCATCATGACCTGAGTTCAAACCCCAGAACAAAGGTTTAAAAAAAATGCAGGATGTACTAGAGTTGTAAGCATTATAGAGGCAGAGGCAGGAGGAGTCCTGAAGTTTGCTTGTTGGTCTGATTGTGGAGTCCAAGGAGAGATACCTTCTCTGAAAAAGCAATATGCACACCGATAGGAACTATACCTGAGGCTGAAGTCTGGCCTTCACAGGCATAAGCACACATGTGTACAGATTCCCCTCACACACAGAGATACAATACTGAGTCAGCAAAACAGGAAAGGTTAAAAAATTTTTCCTGAGGTGCTTTCATTAATGAAGTTTTCTTATTTGTTGAGGGTTTGTTCAGTTGGACAACCGTAATGAAACAAACCACTTGAGAGATCACAGCTTAATTCAATGTTGAGCTTTGGACAAATAATGGAACATGAATGAAAATTAGAAGAGACCTATGATGAACTTATACAGTATTTTCCTTTTTTTGTATACATGAAGAATGGTCTACGAGTCAAGATGCTCAATGAAGAGACAGGAGGCCACAGGTGGAGACAGAGGCAAAAGTATTGAAGGACATATAATTAATAGTCTGTCATGTTTTTGGCTTCTGGAATTTACTTAACTTTGCTTATGTAAAACCTGTTTTCATCCATTAAATCAGAAAGGGAACTTTGATAACAAAAGTGAGATAGTATTTTCTGTTTCACAAAGAATAGAAACGAATTATTGAAACACACCTCTTGGTAGTTGGTCTCCCTTTATTATTGTGCTTATTGCTAAATAAAGCAAAACATACCCACTTGATGCTGTTCCTATTTCTCCCCACAGGATGGTATTGGAATGTGTCACATCTTTGTTCAGATTCTCCCCACCATGTTCAGAAAAGTATTCTTGCAAATCTTTCTATTCCTAGCCCTCATGGGTCTCTTTCAGGCCAGTTTATTGGTCCCAATTCAGCCAGAGTGGCTTTTCTTTGCACGTGTTTGGTGTTTGAGAGCGTCTCTACTTAAGTGGCCAGGGATCATCCTGCATTTTTTAAAACCTTTGTTCAGGTCATGATGCTTTGCCACAAGCACTTACCCCTTGGATCCTGTTTTTCTGAAGTTCTTCCTTTTTCCTAGGCCTTGCTTACTCCTGCTCTCCGTTCTCTGCCTTTGTAGGGGTTAGATGATCCTTAAATTCACATTGTCCTTGTAGTTTATTTTTAAAAGTACACATGCCAGCCAATGTTATAGACCCTGGGTAAAACCACAAACAATATAAGTCAAGTCTTTTCAGCCTTGGCTGGTACAGGGAGATAGATTATAAATACAGTAAGCCAACAACTGCAGGTACAGATTGTAAAGGGGACCAAGAAGAAAGGGTGACAAGTGAGACAAGGTGAAAGAGTGCTGTTTCCATTGGTAAACCAGGTCTACAGAGGTGCCATTGGATTTAACTGAAGCAAGTGACACTGAGAGAATGTCTACCACCTGGGAACCACCTTGGATCACCAGAAATTTAGACTAGACTAGACTGCATTGATTGAGGAATGGATATTGTTTGGTTAGAACAGTTCTTTGGACATCCCATCATAGCAGTTTGCTCATTCATAGCCTTGCCGGCTCCTGCTGTTGACATCCTCTTACAGGTACCCTGATGGGTCCGCCTTTAAGTGATTCCCTTTCTGTCTTCCTGTTATACTCTCCTGTCTTGAATCAAGGACCATGGTCCCATTATTATTGTGCATGAACCATGGTCCCATTATGATGTTTGTCTCTCTGAATGATAAGATTTTATTCCTCTTCCTATGCCTGGGGACTAGTGTACACCATTGGTGTTAGTAACAGTGGGGCTATTGTTGAATAAGTGATGAGATGAATATATGACTAGGCAAATGAATAAGTAAACAAACAAATGCATTTAATAGAAATGGCTCTACTTGGCAGAAAACAGGAAAAAATAAAATATTCTTTTTACTAACAAAATATTTTCTAATTATTCTTTTTACCATTTATGCTAATTTATTATAGTGATGCAGATTCCTCAATCCCTGGGATCTCTTGTTTTCAGGGAAACAGAGGACCTGCAGAGTAGTAACCCACACATTTTGAGGGATGAATGATGGACAGGTAGCACCGGGGCAGGAGCTCTCCAGCTGTCAGGGAGTACTAAGTGAGGAGCAACCTACTTTCAGGGAGGATCATGTGAAGAGCAACCTGTTGTTATTGAGCACCGTGAGAGGAAGATCCAGGAGGTCAGTGCAAGAGTCAATGAGCACTCTACAGAGCACTGCAGCTATCAGTGAGAACTGTGTGAGGAGCCTGGACATCACTGATGCAACATTCAGAGAACACTGCCGCCTGTCGAGCACCCCTGCAGTCAGTGAGCACCCTCTGTGGAGCACAATTCTCTCAGTGAGTACTGTGTGAGGACAATTTCTCCTGGAAAGCACTGTGTGGGGATCACCTGGTTGTCAGTGAGCATAGTGTGGGGTGCACGAATTCTCAGGGAGCACCATGGGAGGAGCATCAGGCCATCAGTGAGCACTGTGTGAGGAGCATCTCACCATCATAAGCACACATAGGGAACATCCTGTGGTCAGTGAGGAGTTTGAGGAACACCCTGTAGTCATAGAACACCTTGTAGGGAGCATCCCACCATCAGTGAGCACCATCTGAGGGAGGCGCTGGCCTTCATCGCCAGGCATAAGTGTGACCCATTTCTGCTGTTGTTCCTGTCCTTCCTGCACGTGCACACGCCACTGACTACACAAGGGCATTTCGTGGGTCACAGCAAGTTCAGGCCATATGGGGACAATGTAGAGGAGCTGGACTGGATGGCGGGGAAGGTGCTTGCGGCCCTGGACCAGGAGCGCCTGACCAATCAGACCCTGGTTTATTTCACATCAGACAATGGTGGCAGCCTGGAGGCCCAGGAGGATGGGGCCCGCGCTGGTGACTGGAATGGGGTCTACCGGGGAGGCAGCGGCAGTGGCAGCTGGGAGGGCGGAGTGCGCGCACCTGGTATCTTCCGGTGGCCCACCGTGCTGGAGGTAGGACTGGTCATCGAGGAGCCCACCAGCCTCGTGGACCTGCTCCCCATCCTAAATTACGTGTGCCGCGGGAACCTCCCCCAGGACAGAGTGACTGATGGCAGGAATCTGATGCGGCTGCTGGAGGGTTGTGCAGCGCTCAGACCATGAGTTCCTGTTCCACTACTGTGGCCTTTTCCTACACAGCGTCCGGTGGCACTAGAAGGATTGAGACACTATTTTCTAATTATTCTAAACTAATAGAATTTTATTTTCTCAATATATTATTTATTAACGTTTCTTCAGCTATAAAATGGTAGAATTATTGAGATATATTTACATGCTATAAATAAGTTACATGTAAATAAACATATGATATATAAATAATAATGTGTCCTTCGCTATGTCAGAGGAACATTCTTTTGCTTTCTTGAGTTTAGAGGTACAATATCATGGAGATACTAGAAGGAAACAGGAAACCAGAGGAATAGAATGTTTCTTTACTGAAAGGTAGGTAACACAGAGGAAGAGCTGCCCATCAGAAAGGCTAGAAGTGGTGGTAGACACTGATGGACACAGATTCTAATTAGTCACTATTGACTTTGAACTTGGAAACCCCATAGTGGTTTTTCATTTGAATATCACATGTGCTACCATTCAGGCATAGGAACCATGGTTATAGGAAACATTTCACATAAATTATGACCAAATAACAAACAAACAAACAAAAAAAAACAATCTACTTAGTTTAGGTTGGAGCCAGGCAAACAGTGTTTACCTGGTTAGTTCTTGATAGTTTCTCTCGTAGCCCTGAAGGAGATATGCTCATTTATAAACATCATTTCATTTTTGAACTCAGCAATGTAGATCTTGTCATGCCCACTCAACTGCCAAGAAAGTAGGCTCAAAACACTGAACATTTGCCCAATATTGCCTAGGATCCAAAAGATAGTCAAGTTTACTTGATTATAATTTCAGAGTGGTAGAACCTTTAGATTTATTAGGTACTAAATTAAATTGTAATTTTGACGTCATTATAGATATGTAGTTGTAGGACTGTTACCTAGTCCTTTACTTGGTTTCTCCCAGTGCTACGTCTTGCAAAATGCATAGTATATCCATTATTGACATCTATAGAGGCACTAGAAGTAATATTTTTTTCTGTAATATACCCACAGGGCCCTTCCCACTGCCCTCTGATGGCCGCAATTCCTTCCTCTTCAATCCTTGTGCATAGCAATCTTCATAATGTTATTGTCTCAATACTGTTAAATAAATGGATCCATGGAACATGGAACATTGTAAAGTTAGCCTCTATCATTTTCCTAACTCTAGAATTCTTCATGCAGGTGGACACAACCCATCTTTGGCTGTTGTTATTGGTATGTGTGTATTTGGTCTTTAGTTCTTAAAAAAATATCAGTGATATGTTTTGATATGGATTTTTTTGAATTTATTCTGTTAAAAGCCACTCTATGCAATCAAGTGATCTATATATTTTGCCAAATTTAGAAAAATTCACCCATCATTTATTAGGGACCATTTTCAAGCCCTTACCCTTATTTCCCAGTGGGACTTTGATAATGCAAATATCAGGTCTTTTTTATATTCAGAGGACCTTGAAGTTCTGTCTATTTTTTTTTTCAGACTGCTTTCTGAAAAAAGTATCTGTACTTTCTACAGATGAGCAGTTCTTGTGACTTCCAGCTCACCAATATTCCTGTGTCTCTTCCACTCTGATATAGATTCCAAGCACTGTGTTTTGATGCTGACTCTTTGCATTTTTCAGCTCAAACATTTTCCAACTGGCTTCTCATTGTATCTATTATTTTTGTTAAGACCAAAATTTCTCATTTCCTATTTCCTTCCTTACTTCTTTCCTGAATTCCTTCCTTCCTTACACTCTCTTTCATATATATTAATTTCATGAGTACTTACATTGTTTATTGAATCATTTATATGATAGCTGCTTTAAAATTTTTGTCAGATAATTCTAGCATTTATGTCATAGATTAAGTACTATATCTGTTGTTTTGAGTTGATTTTATTCTTGTTCTAGAAATGATTAATTGAAATTGCACATTGAGAAGCTAAGGAGTTCTTTAAACCTTCTTTACCTATTTTCCTTTGAGACCACTCTAGTGGGTGGAGGAATATAAGTTAGGGACAGAAGCTCAGGTCCCTCAGTCACTTCTGTTGACAGAGTGGAGAAAAGGAAGAGAAGATACTGTTTGTTGCTATTAATCTGGGGTGAATCTCCAACAACTCTCCCCCATGTAGGAGGGACAGATGTGTCTCATGGCACAGCATGTGCAACCTTCCACAGGCCCAAGGGTGGGGCTCTTTTATGTGCTGTAGAAATGAATATTCCTGCTCCCCACATAAACTGGAGCATCCTCTGGTTAGTTTCATGGATTTGGCTTGGTATAGCAGTTATTGATTAAATGTTTTCTTTCTTCCTCGGTTTCCTAGTTCTTTGACACTTGTAGTAGAGAGGATGGGAAGGTCAAGAAGTGAGGAGAGGCTATCACAAGAGACTCTGGGGCCCTTGACTTGGAGATCTAGCTCTTACAGGAAAATGAAGGAAAAGGAAAACTCAGAGTCCTCCTTACTGTCCTCAGTCTGATTTCTCTTCTTCACATTTCAAACCTTTTGTGTGTTTCATACAAATTCCCAGCATGGTGTCTGTACACGGAAAAAGAAACAGGAAAAAAAAAAAAGCATTCTATTCCACCCTCCACAGGGCTGTTAATAAGAACACTGACAAAATCAGAGCTATAAATCACAATAATATTTCAGCATTTCAAGCGTCTTTTGTCACAGTTTATTCTTATTCTGGGGAAGAGGTGTCTCCTTCTGTAAGGACTGCATGTTGCCTGGGGGTCCTGGTCCTCTGTGAGTTCTACAATTACAGGCTTGTGGCACTGTCACTAGCTTTGTTACCATTTAATTTCAACAGAAAGTGAATTTTCCTTACTGATTTGTATATGTCAACTTAATCAATATATCATTAAAAAAAACACCTAACATCTCAGTTATGGCAACTAGAGATTTCCACTTCAAATCCCCAAATGTAATTTTTTGAGGCCTCCTTGGTTAGCATTGAAATCCTAATCACAGCCATCGCTTCACAAGGTCTCACTGAAGAGAGAACCCTAGCAGCCATTTTTACCCTTTAATTTCCCTCTTTTGATAACTGCACAGCATTCACATGGGAAGCTGTGGTAATCCTTACTTCACAAACCCCATTCTCTTAACCATAAGAAAGATACTTACTTTAACCACTGAAATAATATCAATAAAGAGATAGGTTGTGTACCTGTTTTAGTTTGGGCTTTTATTACTGTGAAGAGACCCCATGACCATAGCAACTCTTATAAAGGAAGACATTTAATTGAGGGTGGCTAGCTTACGGTTTTAGAGGTCCAGTCCATTTATGATCAATGCCAGGGAGCATGTGACATTCAGGCAGATGTGGTGCTATATCTGGACTCAGAGGTAACAGGAAGTTGACCGACTCACTGGACAGTATCCTGAGTGTATGAAACCTCAAACCCCTCCTCCAGAGTGTCACACTTCCTCCAGAAGGTCTGGCCCAGATTAAAGGTGTTTCCTCCAGCCTCAAGATCTGGATTATAGGCATGTGTCATCCAGTCTCTTCCAACAAGGCCACACCTCCTAATAGTGCCATTCCCTATGAGCTTATGGGGGCCAAATAATTCAAACTACCACAGTACCCAAGATGTTCATTCTAACCATACTATCAAACATCTTTGTTTATTCTATAATTTGTGTTCCCAAAGTTTTAAATTGTCTATGTTTACAGCATAGCAAAAAGATCCACTACAGATTAAATGCTGAATGTTGAAAAGAGTGACAAATACTGACAGTGGAATTTTGTCACTCAGTGGGTTGTTATGTCCTCATGGCATGAACAATTTATTTCAATTTTTTTTCCACACTAAGTCTGTAGTTTAGCCACATTAGTGTTAACGTCCACTAATATACTGGTTAAAGTGGAGCCGGTAAGCTAATGCACAGAGTTTAAGTTTAACCTTTGATTTAGAGTTTTGGCTTTATGAACATACTATGATACCATGAACTCAAATAATAATGCATCAGAAATTAGGCGTGAGTGCTGGCTCAATGGATAAAAGAGCTTACTGAACCTCATGAACTGAATTCAATCCCTAGAGCCCACGTGGTAGTTCTCCTTCAACTTATTCATTCCAAGCTCACCTAGGTGGCACTGAGAGAAAGTCCAGGCATCAGGAGAAAGCAACAAAAAGAGGATCAGAAGCAGTATTCCAGACAGGTTGAATAAGGAGTGCCTCAGGTTTTACAGTCTCGATATTTCTTCTGCAGATCCTGCTGACAGGAAGGTATTACAATTTTGCTGGCATCAGTGACCTGGCATCTTGGAATTATCCCCTGCTTCAGTTTACAGAGGAATAAACCGGTAATTAATTATATATCAGAACATGAGAATCGACCCAGCAATAATGTACAGGCTAAGAGCGCTCTATTTACATATGTTGGTTATTTAAAATATGTCTTGTTAAATAAATATTTAAAATATCTCCTTATTTAGATTATAAAGTGTTCGACCAGAGGCTGCAATTTGACTTTGCAGAGTATTCCAAAGTGAGAGACTTGACATAGACGATGATCCCTGCCCAATCATCATCCTCTCTGTCCTTGGATGGCAGGGCACACAGCAAATGTCCTTCATGAAAAGAGCAACATCAATTATTTATTTTCATCAGCAATGACATGTACAATAATGATAGAAAGTTGGTCTGTGGGAATTCATAAACCACCCCTCCCCCCACACACACACACAGAGACACACTAAGGAGTCTAGGCATTAATTATCCACAGTCACGATGTCTGCCTCAGAGGATGACTCAAAAGTGGATAGGAAGTAAGGAAAACAAGTTGTGTCACAATAAAATGTCACCCACGGTGGGGGTAATTTTCCCCTTGTAAATAAATGTCCAGATTTACTTCTAAAGGGAAATAAAACAAAATAGAGAGCTTAAAGATAGTTTTCCATGCTTGTCAAATCATCACGACACTGGTAATAAGAACAGACAGGGCAGGTGGCAAGGTGGGAAGATAAAGTCTCAGTGATGCGCAGGAGGAATTGACGAAGGCAGAGTGCCCCAAGTTAACTTTTCTTTTCTCCAAAGGGTTTACCTATACCTGCACGTTTGGTCCCTGTAGAATGGTTCCGTGAACGTGGAGGCTGCGGATCCACCAGGGGGAGCAGTTCACCAGCACAAAAACGAACCTTCCCGAAGGAAGTCGCTGAAGGCGCCTCTTCCTCTCAATTTACACAGCTGACAGGATCCGATTTTATCAGTTCTCCTAGATGCAGCGCGCACATACCTGGCGCTGATTCCCTCCAGCCAGCCTTATGCTACTGGGATACGTGTAGCAAAAACTCAGGATCACTGGCAGGCTTTCTGTGCAAGGCAGCCCTTGTAATTTTCTGAAATTCCTCGCTTTATTATAGGAAGCAAATTTGGCTCTGCTACCCCATCAGCTTTTAAGGGCAAAATGAATATATCTATCAAACTAGTTGTTTGGTGTGGCATAGGGCTGTGGGAGAGTCTCCCTCAGGTCTTGAAGGCGGGCATGTACTGGAGTTTACTGATAACTTGGTTTCTTTTCGTTTTCAGCAAATTTTTTTTTTTTTTTTTTTTTTTCTTCTTCTTCTTCTTCCTTTAACCAAAGCCCTGGGGCTGGGAAAGAAAACAGCTGTCAGAGAAAGGCTGGTGTCGGTGATAAGCCTTTTGTGTGTAAGCTCAAACTTTGAGACCAGCCTGTCCAAACAAAACAGCTGTGGTCTTCAGTGTGGATGGCAGAGTACACCAAGGCTGTTCATGAAGAGGAGTTGGGGGTAGGGAGGAGCATCTAAAAAATATGCTGGTCCCTGAAGCATTCTGCACACTGTTGCACAATCCACTAAGGAATTCCCAAGGGGAGCCAAGTTTTATTTTTAGTAGAGGTCAGTTCTTTGGTCTCCTTATCCTAATCCTCCATTGTGGCACTTTAGAACATTGCTTTTGCAATAGCCCTTGATGCTGGAGGTGGAGAGCCTGGCTCGGCAGCTCTGGCACCAGGAAAGCATAGGAGCCTCGGGGCTCCTTTCTAGACTTCAGAGTCCTTAGTGAAGCTGTTCATAGGGACCCTCGTCTCTGGATCAGTCTCTTTCTATTAGGCAGCGCCTAGGATGTGCCAAGAGTCTCTAAAACAGGATGTAATGGATGCCAAAGTTACTTTGTAGCCTCTTCGGGCGCGCACTCAGCTCTTAAAACAGCAATGTAGTAATCAAACTCACTCTTTGGAGTAACACAGACGGTTTTTGGAACTTACCTGCTTTCTGTTGCCTCGTTTCTTCCTCACAGGCGTCATTAAACTGTGTGGAAAACCAGCCTGGAGATGACCTTCAGAGACCAGTTGATACCTTCTCCGGGCAGCAGTTAATGTCCCCTCTAAGAATATTAATCAGAAACTCACTTAGGAACATTTTCCTTCCACCTTTCTGATGCTCTACATTCTGATAATTTTTAAATTGACTTCTGACTAAACCATAAAGGAAGAAATCATGATTCTCAAATGACCTTAGATATACCGAATGTGTCAACTGCTGTGTTGAGCAGATTTGAAGAGAAAACAGTCAAAATAGCTAAAAATCATCACCGGCAATTTTTTTAATTTTAAAATTCCAAGAGTTATCTTTAACTGATTCATCAAAGGAATTCAGAGAAACGGGCGTGAAAATGATCCCATTAAGAATGTGGACCTAATTAATGTGGGCCAGGCAGAGTGGCATACAATAGCAAGCCCTGCCCTCAGGAGGCAGAGGCAGGACTGAAACCAACTCCGGAGCTAGCTTTGGGACTTGATGCTATCCCAGGCATCTGTGTGGCAAGAAATACCTTCTGAGGCATAAAATAAAGAGAAGATAGTTACTTGTTGCTCCAGACCCACTTCAAAGGTTCTCATATATGGAACAAAATACAAGCAGCTTGGCTTTTCACTCCTTCCTCCTAAGCCAAACTCACTGTTTCATTCAGCCCCCGTCCTTCCATTACCAATCAGTATATTGTGTGTCATTCCATTTCATTTCATCACACTGAACTTCCAGAATGTCTTGCATGTTTTCCCCACTTTTAATTTACATTACACACTTCTGTGGGGATGCTGAATGACCACCAGAATTTCCAATTGGGTAGAGTTTCATCATGAATAGAATGGAAGAACACGGGCATCAAGGCAGAAGGGAACTCCCATCCTAGTGGAAGCACACTGCTGCTGATACCCCAAAGAGTGAGAGACACAGACCAAGTAAGAGGGACAGGTTACACCCAGGCTGACCCAGATTAGTGTCCAGCAGACATCAGTGAAAGTGAGCGCTCAATAAGCAATGTGCTCCTGATGGTTTAAAGGGACAAACTCTGCAGTCTGCAAACGTCCTCTTTTCCCAAGCACACACTTTCCACTCTCTTGGTGTTTCCTCATTTTATAACCAGAATCAAAGAAGAAAAAGTTCTTCCTCTTGTCAAACACTAATACACAAACTGAATAATTAGCATGAGTTATCACTGCTCTTGATGTAAGCCATGTAGCCACATTCACAAATAGCAAAGTAATTGGCAAGATGAAAACAACCCAGACATGTAGGAGTGAAGTATTGCCAGCATCAATGAGAGAAAATAAAATATCTTTCATTCCTTCTCTGAACTTTTTTTTCTTTTGAGAGAGAGAAAGAGGCTTACTGGAATGGAGTAAAATATGAGCAGTTTGAATAAGATCCATAACTGTCTTTAATTTGTGTCCTTTTTAGCCTTCTTAAGAAAGCATCCAAATATTTAGAAGGCTTCGGGACTAAGCCCTTTCTTCATCTCATTTTTTTGAGCTTCCAATCTTAGTAAGAAAAAGACTAATCAGAAGAGAGAAGGACTCCCAGGGGCTGGGGAGATGGTTCAGAGGCTAAAGTTTTGCTGTGCAGAAGGACAAACATTCAGACTCTAAGACCCCCACATAAAAAGCCAAGGATGGCAGTTCGTGACAGTAATGCTAGAGATGGAAGCCAGGGATAGACAGATTCTGGGGGCTTGCTGGCCAGCCAATGTAGCTGAGCCTATGAGAGAGATTCTCAATGAACAAGTTGGAGAGTGACCAGGGAAGATACCAGACTTAAACTTCTGGTTTACACACACACACACACACACACACACACACACACACACGCGAGAGAGAGAGAGAGAGAGAGAGAGAGAGAGAGAGAGAGAGAGAGAGAGAGACAGAGACAGAGAGAGAGAGACAGAGACAGACTAACCAAGACAGAGACAAAGACAGAAATTCTAAGAAGAGCTTACGGTGAAAACACAGCTTTCTGTGCCTCCATACACCTGATTTCCAACTTGTTGTAAGACAATAGTATGTTTTTTTTTTTAATAAGTAAACTTTTAGAAAAGCGGGGATCTTTGGGAAAAGCCCAAACATGTGTTCTTGGGAAATTAGAACAGCAGACTTCTCCAGCTCTGGAAGAGGCTCCTATGGCAGTCTTCTGGAATGCTGACTACATAACACAGCAATAGTGAGTGCTCTTGTTGAACTACTATGGACAGATAGTGTAAAATGCAAAATATAGTGTAAAATGTAAAACAACTTAAAACCAAAGGTCCTGGATTCCAGACAGATAGATAGTTCTCCAGCATTTAATAAACACTCTAAAGGAATGATCACTGTACTCTTCTAAATTTCTCACTTTCTAGTCCTTGATTTTCAAGTTTTGTGTTTCTTGATTTTACTTTACTTTGTGTTCTTTAATATGTGTGAGTGTATTTGTTCACATGTGGTCAGGTGTGTATGTGTTCCTGTGTGTGGTCAGGCATGTATATGTTCATGTGTATTCAGGCATATGGAGACTACATGCTGTTATCAGGTGTCCTTCTCTATTGCTTCCACCTTATCTATTTGAGAGGATCTTTCATGCAAGCTTGGTGATTTGGTTAGACTGGCTGGCTAGCAAACTTCAGAAATCCACCTGTCTCTAGTTTCCCAGCACCAGGACTACAGGCAAGTACTGCTATGCTAGGCTTTCTGATTTAGGCACTGGGGTTCAAACTCAGGTGCTCATGATTGCATGACAAGCATTTTGCAAGAGGAGTCATCCTCCAAGGCTATTTACCTGTGTTTCTAGACAAAGCAACCACTGGGGTATACAGATCACCTCACAACTCTTGACACTAGATATTCTTCCTTGTAGCGAGTTATGATGTCCATCGTGAGTTCTTATTGTCATCCCAAACCCTCCCTAGTCCCAGTTTATGATAGTAGAAAATATTTTCAGATAGTGGCACATCCCTCTGTGGGCAAAACTACTTCCCACTGAGAACCACCAGTGTGGCTCATTTTCTTGAAATAAAAGCATTCTATGGCAAA